GGCCTTGCGCGAACGGGAGGGGGGAGCCGTCCCCCCCCTCGTTTTTTTAGACTGAGCATGATGTCACATGCTATAGAATCCCCCATTGACCAGCTGTGTCAACCATCCGGCTGTGCTCCCCTCCCTACGCACCCCCCTCCGAGCTTCCCCTGCACGTGGCAGGGCATGGGAGGCCCAAAAGAGAAAACAAAAGCATCAATGGGCCATCAGCGCTCCTCTCACACCAAACCCAAAACACAGCACACCCCCCAGCTACTGGGGAGAAAGTTAACTCTGTCCCAGCCGGAACCAGGTCACACAGTTTGAGGTAAATCAATAAAAGTTGGACAAAACCATACTGCAGGAGCAGCAGAGGCAATGCTATTTTTAACCCAGACCAAACTGAGGAAACTCCTGTTTTCTGCCACGAGAAGCAAAGCTCTGCTCCCCACCCAAACCAGCCCCTTCTCCCTGCGTGCACCTCTTGCCCTGCCCAGGCAGCTTCTCTATGGATCGGTGGGATCTTGGATAAAGTGCTCATCTACACCGAAGCTACCAGCAACGTTTGTGAGGTTAGCAAGGCATCAGCTTAACCAGCAAAACCAGTAGCGGCTTACAGCAGATAGATTTTCAGTGACCAAGTAAAACTATCAACACAATGAAAACATAAGCCCCATTTTTAAAAAGGGAAAAGAGGACGACCTGGGGAACTATAGGCCAGTCAGCCTCACCTCTGTGCCTGGGAAGATCACGGAACAGATCCTCCTGGAAGCTATGCCGAGGCACATGGAGGAGAGGGAGGTGATTCGAGACAGCCAGCATGGCTTCACCGAGGGCAAGTCCTGCCTGACCAACCTAGTGGCCTTCAGTGATGGAGTGACTACATCAGTGGACATGGGAAGGGCTACAGATGTCGTCGATCTGGACCGCTGTAAGGCCTTTGACATGGCCCCCACAACATCCTTCTCTCTAAACCGGAGAGGTATGGATTTGATGGGTGGACTGTTCTGGTGGGTGAGGAATTGGTTGGATGGTTGCATCCAGAGGGTAGTGGTCAACGGCTCAATGTCCAGATGGGGATGGGTGACGAGTGGTGTCCCGCAGGGCCGCTCACTGTCCCAGCCACGGACTCCTCTTCCTCACGCTCCTCCTCAGCATGCACATGGCCATTTAAAACAGATTGGATAGGCTGGACTCTCATCAGCCGTGATGTTGACTCTCTTCTTGGAAAAGGCTCATTTTCAATTTACAGCTCTGTTGAGAAACTCAAGTGTTTTTCTCCCCAATTTAAGGAGACTCTTGCCAAGACATTCCAAGTTTTTAGATAAACCCACGCTCTCTGCCCTGTGCATCAGTGCTAAAGCTCTTCCATACTAGGGCCGTAAGAATCCCAAGCCACCAAAATATCTCTGTTTAAAGGAGAAATTCCCCTATACTATGACGCAGAATGGGAAGGAATTTTATCCTTAGGATAATTCTCAAAGGCGCTCTAACATTGTATTTTGCCTTACCACTATTTTTTCCCTGACAGCAGAGCCCATATTTTCTTATGTTGGTTATGGACAAAACCACGTTTTATCTGTGCATTCCCGTTCAAACCCAGCCAATTCAGCCAGACTGGTGTCACGTACACTGAGCTCCACAAGACAACAAAGTGCCTTCAGAGCTGCACTTGTAATGAGGGCAAGAAATAGAGACCCATTCGGGAGCTTCACAATTCAGGAGCAGATCTTCAATATAATCAGTAATCTTCAATACAGATCTTCAATCATCAGTAGGATGTGCTAAGACATGAACTTTTTTAGCTTGGTGGGTCATTTAGTTGACTGGAAAGTGTCACTGTTGAAGGATGTTCTTAAAAGGTATTTTGAAGATGAACAAAAAATAGTTTTTTGTATCAATCTTTCCCTCCCAACTCTTCAACAGCATATCAGAGTTGTTCATCAAATAACAGCACTAGCAGCTGGTAGGCAACTGGAAAGGCATCACATGCCTTCTGGATGTCTGTTCAGCACTGAATTTCAGTAAGCCAGGAAAAGAGGTTACTTCAAGCTCTAGAAAAGAAGTTTCTGAGCAGAACTTCAGAACAAGTCAATGGGAACGTGCTGTTGGTAGCTTTTGCCATTTCTACAGTGGCCGAGGACCACAGCTGAACCTTCCTGGGGCACAAGGATGAAGAAGCAAAGGCGTATTTCCCCCTTCAGAGGAGAATTAGATCAATCCTCTGCCAAGAAGTCCCACAAGGGCCACCTCCCACTTCTTGAGCTCCAGTTCAGTGCCCTCTGCAGAGGACAAACTGCACACCCTGCAGAAACATCACAAGCTGCTCTGGGTTAAGACTCAAGCTATGCTTAGTATACATGGTTTTGTGTTTCTTCCTATCTGGCTTTAGAGTATTAGTTAAAGTTCCCAGGCACATCTACTTGTTTACGTGGCTCTGCCCTCGGCAGCAGATCCCAAGGTCGTTCCCCACACAGCACATTCACAGCAGCCGGTGTTTGGACCTCCGGTGTGACCTGCTCTTCAGTGACACCCAGCAGAGACCTCCTGCCCTGGATGCAGCTCTGCTGCTCCAAGAGATGGATGTTGAGAAGGAATTCCTGTGTCCTTCTGGCTGTAAGAAAAAAATATCTTTTTCTTTGGGATATTTGGAGCGTGTCCAGAGAAGGGCAACGAAGCTGGTGAAGGGCCTGGAGCACAAGTCTGATGAGGAGCGGCTGAGGGAACTGGGGCTGTTTAGCCTGGAGAAGAGGACGCTGAGGGGAGACCTCATCGCGCTCTACAACTACCTGAAAGGAGGTTGTAGCCAGGTGGGGGTTGGTCTCTTCTCCCAAGTAACCAGCGATAGGACGAGAGGAAATGGCCTCAAGTTGCGCCAGGGGAGGTTTAGACTGGCCATTAGGAAAAACTTCTTCACTGAAAGAGTGGTCAGGCCTTGGAACAGGCTGCCCAGGGAAGTGGTGGAGTCACCATCCCTGGAAGTATTTAAAAGACGTGTAGATGAGGTGCTTAGGGACATGGTTTAGTGGGCATGGTGGTGTTGGGTTAACGGTTGGACTTGATGATCTTTAGAGGTCTTTTCCAACCTTAATGATTCTATGATTTCCAACCTGTAATGTAAAACTTCACAAAGCTCTGTGAAACCAGCTGTGGATTGGAGCCAGCTCCATGGTAGGCAGAGGGGAAATGCACTTTATTCTCTCTCTATGCCAAAAAGAAAGCAGGTCACATATCCGCATTACTGCCAGGGGAATGTGCCCAGTTTGGCACCATCACCTTGGTACTCTCTCAAGTGTTTGCCCTCCACATAGACACCAACTGATGTGATCACACTCGAAGCAGAAAAGCTCTTGAGCAATGCTTTCGTGCATTCCCTGAAGGCTGTCATGAGCACGTAGGCAAGAAATCAGGCTGCAGTCTTGAGGGTGCATCGTACCATTTCCAAAGACTTGGCTGCTTGCAAAAGTCTCCACGGCAGATTGACATCCTTGGGATCCTGGCATTTGCACAGGTCGCTCGTCACAGCACCCGCGAGCAGCCAGCATGCGTACCTGCGGCCAGGCTCCGCTTTCGGAGAAGCCACTGGGAACATAGCCGTCAGATTATATGGCAGCCAAATTAAGGTTCATCCTCCAAAATTACACTTAAAACTAATGAAAAATAGTTACAGCCCTTAAAAAAATCTTACTGCCAAAAAGCCCCACTGTTTTGTCATCAACATTCTTGAATGCTCTTCTCTTTCCGAGAAGACTCCTGTGTCTACAGAGGGCCTCTTTTGCAGCCCGTTCTCCAATGAGTAGTTTTACTGGAACCATTCCAATCTTTTCTGTGAGTAGAGGTCACATTCCTGAAGCTACAGTATTTTGCCCAAGTGCCTGGAGTTCAACTATTCACATGTAACACTTCAAAATTATTTTCTTCATTCTTCCCAGGCAACACTCCTAGATTTAGGTATCGCTGTGCAGGCAGGGAAGCATGGACTTTTACGTATAGCTCAAAGAATTCAAGAGGGTTGTAATTCCTCTGATTGCTTCCACTGTTTCAGCATGCTTTTTCCCCATCAAAAGCCAGGGTGAAACAACCTGATCAGCCTGGATGACAAATTCTAAGCGAGCTGGATCACCTTACACTCCTTTAAGAGGCTCTTCTTCCCCTCTAGGTACCAGATTTACACTGTAATTTCAGCGGGTGGGGATCCTGATGTACTTTCAGTATGAGTCAGACTGGGAGTAGAAACCACTGTACATTTCACTGCTCCCATATAATTAAATGCGGTAAATAAATAGGAAGTACTTATTTGAAATAAGACAACACACTCAAAACGAAGGGTGACCACTGTCGAGTACAGAAGGAGTGCTCCCATCCATTTTCCTCAGTTGGATGTTTTGCTCCTTAAAGCAGCAAAGTTCTGAGTGTAGGGAGGGGAGCTCTCACACGCCAACAGCAGCACAACTAAATGGAGTCAAGTTTTCCCAGAAATTCAGAAACTATTTTTTTGAACCAGTAATGACCATTAGAGCAGAACCGGAACTAAACAGACAAAACACAACATAAAAACAGTGCAGAAAGGAAACAAAACTGCATGGAAGCACATATGGCCGTGCTCAACTACACGTCAGCGTGCACTGGAGCCCACCTTGGAGAAGGAGATGCTGGTGTCGGACACTGTCACTTGCTCGAGCGGCTTCACCGCCACGTTGCAGGATTGTAGTAAGGCGAGGAGGTTTTTACCACCCAGGCCTTCACGTGGCACACCGCAAGTACAAATAACTAGCACGTCACCACCAAAGAGCAGGTCAAGTGAGCACGCACACATCTTTATGTGTAGCTTGGTAACGAGCCAGGCACTCATTCGAGCTATTAAGACGGGTTGGCAGGTTTGTTATGGTCGCTCAGGAAGGTGCTGACTCTGGTACACAGCACCAGCTGACTGTTGCACAGAAGCACAACAGCTAAAAAGAAAATCTTTCCTGAAATCCAAATGAGGAATAATCTTGCAGGAAAGACCAACAGTTGAATGCTCCAACTAGGTGGATGCATAAAACCTACCTTTCTTGAAGGTCATGGAGAGACTGTTCAGCTCTGTGGAGTCCCTCGAGGTCTTTCATCATCTTCTTCATGTGCTCCTTTGAATAGCGATTCTGGATGTAGGCAAACCAGCAGCCACCCACGCCAATGACAATGGACACCACCAGCATGAAGTCCTTCAGGTGATTGTGACGAGTTACTGGAAGAGAACCAGAGATACGACTGAATTCAAAAGAACACACGAATTAACTTCGCAATGCTTCACCCGCACCAGAGCTGGACATGAGAACTGAAGATAATGTTAGAAGGCATTGTGGCCCAGGTTTCACAAAAGGATAAAATGAGCTACATCGATATTTAAGGAAAAAAAAGAAGCTTGACAACATTTACTCAATTTGAATAGGGAAGCAAAAAAAAAAGGAAGATGAAATTCAAAATCTTATAGATATAATTTGCCTGGCAATACATGATACAGGAGAGCCTTCACATAGGAACCCCCAGAACAGCTGTGCTCTTTTAGGACAACACAGATAGCATTGAGTACGAAGATGTAAGAGCTAAGAAGAAAATAACTTTGTTGAAAAAATACGACTGTGATCATAGAGATGGGGCAGATCAAGTATCAAATTGTCAAGTTACAAAATTTTCCATCAGAATTACAACTCAATATGGAAACCCCCTTTTTCAACAGTTAGCAAAACACAGTTACTTAAAAAAACAGTGTGGATGTACGTGAGAGAACAAAAGTAATAAGTGGGCGTTTACGTGCTAAACAAAAAACAAAACCACAATTCAAGCAGAATTTTTTTACTGTTTACTAATTAGCAAATCCTCAAACAAGTATGTACCAAGAAAGCTAAAAATGAGAAAGAGCAGCTTAGTCAAGCTAGCTGCAACTAAATGTTCCAGTATCTACTGGTTTTAAAGTAAAAGAGGGTAGATTCAGACTAGATACAAGGAAGAAATTTGTTACAGTGAAGGTGGTGAGACACTGGCACAGGTTGCCCAGAGAGGTGGTAGGTGCCCCATCCCTGGGAACATTCAAGGTCAGGTTGGACGGGGCTCTGAGCAACCTCGTCTGGTTGAAGATGTCCCTGCCCATGGCAGGGGGGTTGGACTAGATGACCTTTAAAGGTCCCTTCCAACCCAAACCCTTCTGTGATTCTATGACCCCGCATGTTGCAAACCCCCAAGTACAACCTTCCACTTGCACTTCACACAGTACTGATTTCTTTTTGCTACCAGCACTACAGGTTTTACTCTAGGCGCTCCAATTTCCTATCAAGATCTACACGCATCAGAGAGAAACACGCAATTCCCAGCAGCACGGGGCGTACTCAGCCGTCCCATACAGCACGGACACCAGTGACCCAACACCGCTTCCCAGCACAGGCTCTTCTAAAACACACTGAAGTCCCGGAGGCTTTTACATTAGGCTTCCTGTAGATGTCTAAAGAGAAGTGTGAGCATGTGAAGAGGTGCTGATCCGAGAGCTAACGCTGTGCCAGCTCCAGCAGCCCCCAGATCTTCCACTTGACCGGCTCCAAGCAATGGTACTCGGATGGACAAGACCGACAGGAGAATTTAGGATGGCAGCTACAGGGGAAGCGAAAGAGCCATTACAGGCACAACCAGAAAACCTCTTTGCTTCACCTGAAGCAAGAGCAGGGGGTTTATAAACACAGAAATGTACGTACACAACCTGCCCCCTCCCCTTGCTGCCAGCCCTGAGAGCACAGAGCGGCTTCGGCAGGCTGGGGACAGCCAGGTCATCTCTGGGTTCAGAGGCAAGAGTAGCCAGGGAGCTGCCAACAGGCTACAGCCACGGAAGGACCCTTTCTTAGAGGAATTGCCAAAGACGGGCTATAACACAATCTCACAGTTACTCTAAAAGGAGTCAGAAATGCTATTTTCCTCAAACCGATGCAACATCCCTTCCTGTGCCTTGCACCTGGTCTGGAGGACACCTCAACTCAGCATGCGCGAGATGGGCTGCACCCAAAGCAGCACCCACTTTCACAAGAAAAACACCTCAGCGAGGCGAGTCCTCACTGCTGACCCTCGCAGCAATACCTGCCTGCCCATGGGGCAAACGGGTCACGGCAGCCCAGCAAGCACGAGCAGGACTCCCCGAAATGAGCTTCTCACTCACATGTCAGGCTGACGACGAGCCGGCATGGAGGGGTGTCCTGGCACCGGGAAGTCACAGTGGTGAGGAGAGTTTAAAACGGACGGGAATTGCACCCTGTCGTTTTCCAAAATGAGTGGATGTAGAAAAGCCAAAGACTAGACATTTCAAAGATGACAAAAGTTTACTGTCAATAGCCTTCTTTCATATAGGAATTTTAAAATACTTTAAGACAAATGAATGTCATAACCCATCACAGGCAAACAAATATTGGATGCATTTTGCAGGGGAGTGAACTGAAGCACAGAAGCAAGTGATGCTGTGCAGGACCAACCTGAGCAAGGACTGGATCTCTCCCCCTCCATCCCCGGGCACCTGGCAGCTTTGGCGCAGGGCTGGAAGCAGCCTTCCTGCAGGAGAAGCTCTTGCTGACGCTGGAGGCAGCAGCCAATGTGGCCATGCTGTTTCCAGCTCTTTCACATATTCCTTGATTCACGTGCACGTGTTTGGAGACGACAAGACAGAGCCAAGCTGGGCAGACGCCAGCTCCCACAGCCGGGACCGCGGGACCGAACCAGCCCCGGGTCTGGAGGGGCCACTGCACAGCCGAGTAAGCTCCCAGCTGGGAAGAGCTCGGTTGCCATCTCTGCTGGGGTTCTTTCTGCGCACCGCAGATGAGCTTACGTAAATGGATTAAGCATAAAATCCCACCTGGGTTGCAACTTTCCCAACACCTTTCGTTTCGGGACTGTCAGGGGACGGGTGAACATTTACGCAAGGCACCGCTATGCTGCACTTGCCAGATGATTTCCGTCGCGTCCCTGAGAAACCGGCTCCTTCATCTTATGCAAAATCCTTCAGCTCTTTGTTTCCAGTTATGACGACACGTTGACTGCTTTCTCACGAACCAAGAAGCGACAAGATGCCTCTGATGCTCTCACTGCAAGGAGTTTCTCCAAAAAGCCTTCCCATCTTACTTGAAGTTTTAGACTTTAAAAACTTATTGCTTATACGAAATTTGAAATGGATCTCTACCAACAGAATTTTGACACCATTTTAATAATTTTAGTAAGTAACATTACTGCCTTCCCAGCATTATAATATAAATCAAAGAGCCCCCCAGGGCCTCAGATTCATCTTTGCTACCTTAAAATATAATTAACAAACATTATTTTTTGGGAAAAAAATCCTTCCCTCAAAATGACATACACATAGCAAATTTAGGGCTTTCACTTCCCTTCCTTTTAATTTGTGCAAGTGTTTAAAGGCTTTTCCAATATATTAAGATACATGCTGTTTGTAATGCTTGGGTCTAAGCATCAGCTTTGCACAACGCGAGGGAGAATTGCCAACTGGCCTTTTCAACTTGAAATTTGCATTTATCACAACACAGCGAAGTTAAGGCTCTGAAAGACCACGTCCGAAGTCTCTTACTAGGTATACTGAACTATGGTAAAATCCCCAGCAGGCAGTAAAGAGAGAAAGAACTACATAAAGGCACCGTGGTGGTTCCTTCAAATGGAAAGGATTAAGATATGACCACTCTGTTCCCCAACAAAAAATTAATATGTTCATTTCTAACTCGGATACACACTCGGCTCCACTCAGCGCTCGTGTTCTCTCAATTTTGTGAGAAATCCCAAGATGTGAAACACAAAGGGTGCACAGAACAGCATAAGAATCCGAACTCTCTTCTCCAGGAAACTCAAGAACCAGGTAAATTACAAGAGGAACAGAGACTTCACCTTGTAAGAGGAGGTTTACAGACAGTTCTCAGGCTGTAGAGAAATAATTGGTGTCAGGTGTCTTGTCAAAACCTCTAATAAAAAGTAAAAAAAAAATTTACTTCCATCATTTGAAGGGATGAGGACTTTCATAGCTGAGGCAGGAACAATATTTATTGTAACCCCCAAATCTCTTTATACCCTCGTGAAACAAAGTACAGGAACACAAGACGTTTGCTTTAACTCATCCCCATGAATCTTTATTTCAGTCAAGACATAAGATGCAGAAACTAAAGGTTTTGCAGGTATGCAAAATGTCATGAAGCGAGGATGAAAAAGTGGAAAAGGAGGATGCTGACGTGTCTTAATCAGGTGAAAAAGATTGCTGGATTTGATACAATTCAGTATTTGGGGGAAGGTGGGCTGGAATTATGTTTTTACATTCTTATGCATCTTCAATAAAGGATCTACTCAGGATTTTCTAGCAAAGGGGGAACAATAGCGGGGACTGTAAGAATCTCTCCACCAGACACAGATGATAGGTTAGATCAACACTTTTTTTCACATACTGAAGCTATCACATAACTGATACAGGGATTCCTTAACAGTTCTGTTACAAGCCACAGACAGAATATTCTGGTACTATTGAGAAGAATACAGATACACACACACAAACATAAAAGATTTGGCCAAAGTGAACCATTCCTAGTTGAAGGCTTTAGATGAAGCATCGCATAAAGGCATGTGCAGCCTCAACCTAAGGAATATATTGCCTATGCCTCGGGGGCAGACATGAACTGAAGAAGACACAAGCCTGCAAAATACAGCAGAGCAAAGCAGAGATCACACTAAGCTACACTGAAAATTGAGGGATAGAAGAATAGATGTGTTACAACAGGGCATTAAACCTGCAATTAGGAAAAAGCCTTGTATTAGATCTTGGTTTTCTCATTTATTTATTTTAAGCAAAGAACAGCTGATGTGCCATAACTGTGAAAAGAAGAGGCTTTTAAAGGTCGGTTCCCCCCCAGCAGCAGATGACAGATGCATATGCTCCGACTCCTTTGACTGCATCGTACGGGACACATCGCACGGAGCTCACCTTTATCGTGTCAAAGTGCCGGAGTCTGACCCCGGTTATGGCACCAGACTCCATCCCATGACTCTTTCTGACCAGAACCCATCTTTGGTTTCTCTGAGTGAAATAAATCTGGAAGCACGTTAGTCTAACAGGGCCACCCTCACTCGCAGAAAAATGATTTCTGGAGTGACTCAAGTGGGCTGCTGCTGCCTGTGGCTGGTAGGAATTGCTCTGGTTCACGGAGAGCCAGAAATGAAGAATACACA